GCCATCGCTCTTAGGTTGGAGGCCATCGCTCTTAGGATGGAGGCCATTGCTAGTAGGATTGACGAGAACGGACCGTTTTGGAACTCAAAGCTCCTCGCGTCCGCCGAGATCCGATCGCTTGAGGATCCAGTGCCCACCCAGACGAAGAGGTTGGGGGCGGATCAAGACGGATCCGTTGGATCGATTGGATAGCCACTCATGTGGAGGGTTGATTAAGAACTTCTCCTGATTTGGATTGTAAAGCCATGTAAAACCATGTAAAACCTTGAAAAAAACATGGAGGGTGGGAGGTTGAACATATTGGTCCACCGTTTTTCTTGAGACATCCGATCCACAGCCGCAGAAGAGCAGAGGAAGAGCTGACGAAGCTGATCGGCTGGAGCTCTTCACACCATGACACGGGCATCCAGGCAAACCACTAGTTCGCTGGTAACCAGTTGGTTCCAAAGACTAAAACCATAGACCGAACGAATCCCTGGTTCTTCACCAGGCGCCAGCAGTGCGAGATGAGTCTGAGTCGCTTGGCGAGAGAGGAAGCAGAGACCAGGACTCCGAAAGCAGGGAACAGGTCCAGAATCAGCAGCTCCCCCTGTTAGGGCTCTCCGAACCCAACCTTTTTACAACCCCGAGCAGCTAGAGAAATCATCAAAGACCTTGGGTCGCTGCTTCCCAAGCTCTTTGGAGAGATTTCAAGGCAACTCTCGGCAGTCCCCCAACACCGACATGCTGACTTTTTTTGTCATGGACACCAGGTGTGGCGGTAAAACCTGTTTGTGGAAAATTGAATCGATTTATCACATCTTCCTAACATCCCTAATCGCATGGAACACTTTTCAAGTAAGAGAGTAGGCCATCTTTGCCCAGCAAGTCCTGGCCGTGGCTCGCAAAAAGTAGCTTGAGAACTTACCCCAAACTTGAGAAAAAGGACACGACCCATTCAACTTCCAAAGGATTCCAAAAAGGGGTGGTGATTGAAAGGTAGGGCTCCCCAGGACTGAAGTCGAAGGTTCGGGCCCAGAAGGGTTTCGTGCTCTGGAAAAAGCACTGAAGACATCCAGGCGCCCGCAGGCGCCCAAATCCCCACCCATTTGGGTTTTGAACCATGCCAAACGAAGCCCAAGAGCTTGGGAAGCAAGCCCAGCTTGGGCCCGGGCCACGTAAACACCTCCTCGGATCTCCTCGGATCTCGGTCCCTTCTTATCTTGATCTCACTGTGTGTCCCTCACACGGCTCTATGATGCTCTATGGTCCTTCAGAGTCCTTCCGTTAATGGTATTTATATATATATAGCTGCTCTCCAGTTATAGTGTTTACAACATCTCGTCCAGTGTCACTTAGTAATACTGATACTCTATATATATATATATGGTATATGAAATTGTGGGATCCATTGGGATCCAAAGTCGCCAAGCCAAAGCACGACATGTCATCTTGACTTGTTTGTTTCTATGAAGTGGCCCTAGGAACTCCAACATGTTTGTGTATTTTTTTGTTTAACATCAATTCAAACTCAGAGCCCATCATGTTCGTTCAGTACAGCTACGACAAAGTTGAAAAAAAGCCTGTCGTTTCATAAACACCCACCCATGTTCCGAAGAATTCTAACGACCAAATGAGAGCCCCATGTTTAAGCTACAAAAACACCATCTCTACTGGGGGATTCCCCAGGCTCAAATCAACCTCAAAAGGAGTTCTCCAAACAATGAGGTACCCCGAAAAAGGATTTCTGAAATCGATCCTTCAAGCACCTCAGGCCGAAGGCAACGGCGAAGGCGATTCAGGGCGTAGCCAAACGCGGGCTCCGCGTGTTCATGTCACATACGGGCGAAGCATTTAAAGCATCTTATCGAACATTCGGCCAGTCACCCAGTTGATGGCCAGATGTTCTACGATAACTGGACCATGTCACTTAGCATCACTCGCAGCCAAGCACCGAACCAGGTGCCACAGACCTCCGCGGCCTCCGCGCCCTTGAGGCGAACGGAGTTCAGGGCGGGTCAGGTGCCATGCGGCCTGGATGTGGAAGGAGGAGTAGCCTGGGATTGTGCGAAGTAGCGTGGGAGACCGGAGACAAGGTAGCCTGGAACACTCCTTTGAAGAACGCATGAGATGGACTCGAGCTCGGGATGCTGTTTTTAGTTTTTTCTTTGACAGCTAGCTAGGTCAGAATTGGTTTCGGTAGTCACCCATGAAACACCGTCGATTGGGAGCTATAATGATATCTTCATGTACAAGCAAATCAGGAAGCTACTTCCGAAGTTTAGGCGCTTTGTCATGCCCAGCAAATCCTAGCTACTATAGCACTATATACAGCTGTGAGTACAGCTGTGTTTTTTTGGAGAGAAAGAACACTGAAAGACTGAAACCGCAGAACTGGCAGAACCAGAACCGGGTGTACCCAAAAGATCGACAATTCACCTGCCCAGACCCTCCTAGACCCTCCGTATGGAGGGAGAATCCTCTGGAGGGTTCCGGACCCTCACCAAACCCTATGGTGGTCTTGGGATCCAAGGGCGTCGTTCACGGAGCGTCTGGGTGGGTCCTCGAAAGAAAGCAACGCGGAGGCCTGGAACGGTCGGCCTCGGAAGCCATGCGCCCGAGCTGGGGGGACCCGGTGACGACATGATCCCATGAGGCATGTAAAATGAAGAGAAGACCCAGAGACGAGCCAGGGAAGAGGAAAGACCAGGTCCCAGCGACGGATTCCGACCTTTTTCCCGTGCCGAGCTGGGGAGTTGCAAAGATCCACAGACACGTTGCGAGACGCACTTTCCCCCAAGCCAAGCGACCTGTTGGTCAGTTTCTTGTTCCGTGGAGACTGAAGGATTCTGATTTTCAAACTGAAATCAGTGAACAGAGATGGGGTGATCCTCGCGCCCAGCGTTTCAGCATAAGATGATCAGCAATGCATGCATGATATTGAGTTATTTGATTTAAACAGTTGTTATTTCAATTTTTACTGCAATAGATCATATATCAGCAGCTGGGTTTGTATATCTTCAGTTTTCTCAGAATTCAGGCACCCAGGACCCAGGGGTGTTCACTTCTTTTCCAGCGGAATGTGGCTTTCTTCTGCGTCCCGTGGCACGGGTGGTCGCCACGTGGCCTCCGGCGATGCTTCGGCGTTCTTAGGTTGAAGATTGCAGGCCTCCGAATACGTGGAGGCACAGAAGAACAAACAGCAACGATCCGGGAGGGATCGGCGAGGAGGCATGGGCTTATGATTGATACTGTAACACCCTCGAAAACACCGTGAAGCTCCTGGATATTTTAAAAACACACATATATATATATTATCTTTGTTTATTTACATATGTTATTTGTTGTGGTACATACACAGCTTTGACAAGTGTTTTCGAAGGTGTGCAGGGGTCATTTCATTCATGCTCCGTTCTGACCTCCATTCCACCGGATACATTCAGGAAACAACGAGCCACAGCGGCGGTGTGACACAGCCAGCTCCATGCACCTGCTAGCGCTGTGGACCAGCTGTGTGGACCAGCTGTGTGGACCAGCTGTGTCACGCTGTGACTGTTTGCTATGTGCTTGTGTCACTCTGTGTCACTGTGTGTCCTGCTTTGTGCTTTGCTGTCGTTCCATTCCGCAGACACCGTTTCAGACGGATTTTTGAAGAGGCGGCCAATGGCTGCGGCAGACGTCGAGCAATGGAACAATCGACGTCGAGGAATGTAAACAGTTAAACAGACACACATGGAAAACACGTTATGCAGCACTTCTTAGTTTCTCCGTTCATTCAATACATGAGGATATGGAATCATCAGATTTCCACGCATGTGTTTCTTTATCTCAATGCTGAGCAATTTCAGGGCAAAGCCAGAAGTCTTCCAATTTGGGTTCACGAGACACGGAGAGACCGAATGTGCGCAGACACCGTCATCGAGCTCTGAAAAGGTCAGATCGAATGAGAAATAGCCGTGACACCGTCAGCGGTGATCCAAAGGCTAACAGGACTGCTTGTCCCAAGGCTTGTTCCTTGCAGTTTTTGCATGAGTTTGCATCCACAAATACGAGTCAGGCTGTGCCACTTCGTGGCACAACGAGAGCAGTCCAAGTGCACTGACAACATGTTACCTTTCGTGCCCATCCCAAAGCAAGATGTTTCAACTTGTGCTGTCAGTTTGCTTCTGTGCATGTGGAAACTGTGGAGTCTGAGCCCCACAGGGTCTCCCTTGCTCCATGTGTTCCACTAGGTGCCTTGAGGTGTCGCACAGCTAAGCATCAGCAATGTTGTGATTCTCCAAGCACTGTATCTAGGCTTTCCATGGTTTTCATCTTGTGCTTGTGTGGAACTGTACGAATAGATCGAATAGATGTGGCCTGCATCAGAAGTTTGCAGGTGTTCAAAAGCCTGGTCTTTTCTTGTTCATTTGCTTCCTGACCCACAGGAGTTGAGCAACGAGACCTCATGATGATTGGCCAGGATGTTTGCATGTGTCTTGTGTGTGCGTGTTCATGTGCAAGCCTGTTGAACCGCCTTGGGTTTGTGCGTGAAAACATACAGTATGGACACGACTGCTGTTTTTTTGTCAAGAGGATCACATGCTTTGTGTAGCTGTGAGGGGCCACAGAGCCGCTGGATGCCAGCGAGGTGAGTAAGGATTCACTTCAGCCACACATGTGACAATTATTGAAGAACTGTTTAGTAGCAATACAAGTTTGCCTGCGGTTTATGATATCATATGATATCAAAGTTTGGCTTTGATGTCTTGCACACATTCTTATGTCAGGGTGGCAGTCCTTCCCTCACCTCGATCCACGACCTGGGTGGTCCATTTGGGTGGTTATTTGTACCAGAGGACCCACCGTGGGCCTTTCTCTACTTGGAGAAAGCATCTACTTTTTTGGAGGAGTCTTTAGTGGAGGTATTTCAGGCTTCTGGGATTTTCTTGGCAGATTGCTTGGCGTGTTCTGTTGATCCTCGTCCCGTCCCGAGCGCGGAGTTGAGAAGGCCCTTCCAAAGCCCTCGCCGATGAGTCTGTGCGCTGGTTTGAGGTTTGATGATTTTGACATTCTTAACGTGTTGATAATAGTATATAGGTAGCATTTGTTTTGTGGAATGGTCTGAGCGTAATCTTTTCCAGAGCACTTGACCTCATTGACAATCTTGCAGACCGATTTGAATAATTCGGATAAAGCTATTCGTATCTCAAACGAACCCTTCTCATGGTTCATACTCCACGCACGAGCCGCGTTCTGCTGCTTCGTCAGCCTTGACACGCAAGCTGACGGATTTCCGCCCTGAAATCATGGTGACAGGGATGGCCTACCGCTTTCGGGATGACGAAATGTATATAAGTTTAACTCCACGAAACCAGACCACTCACCCTTCCCCGGTTTTTTTCAGCCCATCGCCCGGACTCTCTCCACTCACGCTTTCAAAAAGCGCTAGGCCCAGGGCGGTGCCTAGCCGGTGTCCCATTGGTGCAGGACAGGGCGTAAAGGGGCAGTGAAAGCTGAGAAATCCAGAGATCCAACGTTTATTCGTCATCTGCCCTAGCCTTGAGGGTGAGGCTCTTCCGGTTTACATCAGGATTCCACAGTCATTTGTGCACTACCGGCCACCTGAGAGGCGTCATTTGACGGATACCAGGATGAATTGGGGACTTGAGACGCGATTAGGTACCATAGATGGTACGAGACTCCGGTCATCAGCAACTTGGGTTTACTTTACCGAAGTGAAATGAGTCGTTTCAAGGAACCAAGTGAACATTTTTGTCAGGGTACAGGCAGAATTGCTTGTTCTTGCAGATGTTGTGACTGGGATCACGATCCCCTACGTATCGCCTACTTATCGATAGATGGGACTTGGATCGATGGATCGCTGGATGAGCAGGGAGAAAGAAAGAAAGACAGAAAGCAAGAAAGCAACAAAGAAACACACAACAAAGACAGAAAGAGATCCAAACAATGATGAATCACAATGATATATAAATCAAAGTGCAACTCACAATAGCCCACACTATGTGGAAGATGATCCTTGCAGTAAAAGCCACCATCGGCCACTGCACCAAGTCTCAGGTTAACACTGGTGGTGGAGTGGAGAGAAACGGTCCACCATGAACTTGACTTCAAGATTCCATGACTGATGACATCAACGAATGTCTCGCTTCACCCAAGAAGAGTGAGCATCCTTCCAAAGCACCCTTCCACCATTTATCAGCCCCTGATTTCACCAGTTAGCATTTGTCCAGAGGATTTTGCGACCTACCAAACCAAGTTTACAACGTGGAAGCAATAATTGATAACAAAGAAGCAGAAGGCAGAAGGTGACATATTTGCTCATGCAAATACTGGACTGTTTATCTCAATCAACTTAAGCTTTTGTTCGGCTGATCGAAGTCGTTTGATCTTGATGTGCTGCACATGGTGCACGGGATACCTGTTTACGATACTCAGGGCCATGCCTCCATCTTGTTCCTCTGAGTCGTAGGGAGGAGTCTGCACACGGAAGAATCAATCCATTTTCTTGCAATAAGGGCATTTTAGGCTGGCCTTTGATGCATTTTGATTTTATGCTACTTCGTCAGATTTTGAGAGGACATGTGTCCGCGATTGATGCGTGTGCTACTTATGTGGAGTAGCATGCTGCTAATCTGGAGTCTGGAGTAGGAATATATATATAATATTCTGACATTATAAGGACACTATTGAATACTATTGAACTTGAGGGAGGACAAAGAACAGTTAGTTGTTATATTATCAATACTATATATATAATATATACTATTGCTCTCCATGGCGACGCAGACGCAGTTGCTTTCCGTCAGAGGATCGTGCATATTGGGAAGTGCATGTCATCGAGGCCGTTGGTGCATGGTCCATCGTGCGATGGTCGGAACGATCGCCGTCGGGAATGGGCCAAAGACGGGGTCATTTGCATCGTCAACAGCCTGAGATGGTGTTCTATAGCGATCGAAGGGATCATTTTTTGAACAGCTCTAACACTAGTTCCACTAATCAATTCGACAAACAATGTGTTATTTCTAGTCGATGCCAGTCGATGTAGGATTTTGTCCATCGACGTTCCCTTTGACGTTCCCTTTGGATCGCTTGGTTGTTGTCCTCGATCTGCACATGTCGTCCTGGCCACAGGTCGGGCCGCCGCTCAGCAGTGTGCTGCTGGTGGGCGTGGCAGCACAAGGACATTGGGGTCAGAAGTTGAGGGCGAGGGCATACCCAGTAGGTCCGTAGGTGATGTCTTGGGTGTGCTATACCCTTAGCTACTAAGCATTTGTTTGTGGACTACATCCCGCTGTTTGCCTCATGCTAGTGGGCGTGGTTAATGCCCGATGCATGAATACATATTAATACTGTATGGAGGGTTCAGTTTGAAGTTTACAACATCTCAACACCCATTTGATCCAGAGGATGTTAGACCTATGGGTATTGTTGAGCAAGCCACTTGTGCTACTTGATTTGCTGCTCGTGGTCAACCAACCATCAACAAGCCTTGGCCAGAGCACCAAAGTGTTTACAGTAGTCAAAGCCCCATTTTTCCCGGGGTCCTGTCAAGACTCAATACAGGCCTTCATTGCCATAAGTGTGTGCTTATTAGTTTCTTCACCCAAGCAACCATGTTCTTTTGACATCACACACCACACGGAGCACTTGATTTCTTTCACCCCAACATTGATGTTGTCCAGCATTTTGTTTATAAAATGCCCTTTCGCTGATAACCACTCCTCTTGCAGAAGCTGAACACTCCTAGCTACCTATACAGTATAATAATCCGCGCCTTTTGTGTGTCCTTTTCCTCATGAATTTCGCGTGGATCCAATTGCCATTACCAATAAGTCCGAGCCTAAAGCAAAGTAGGGATGGCACACCCAAAGCAAGCCAATTGATGTGAACCCTACAAAGTCTGTAAGCTATCCTCTAACCTGTTTTTGGGATTGTTCTTTTTGGGAACAGGCGGTTCCCCACTTAAGATAGAACAGGCAGTTCCATAGGTGAAGCGTTACTGTAACCGGTTGTCTGAAACGGCTCGGTCGTCAGAAGCCAAGACTGAACCCTGGGAATCGGCTGGACGGTGACCGCCTTCGAGTTCCGGTCGTCGGAAGACGAGGCGGATCGTTCGACGAATGACAGTGGCATGCGCCAGGAGTTTGGTCTCTGGGTTGGAGATTGCATGATATTGCTCTGCATGTTTGATTGGTTAAACAAAACACTTTAAAACCGTCTTTTGTGTAAAGATCATTACAGGGAATGCCTGGTTCAATACGGTGGACGACGACCCGAGGACCCGAGGAGCATCTGACTCAGCGGTGCGCAGCTGAGCAAACCTCGGTTGACTCAATCGGGCGCATGGCTCCTGATGGCTCTCTATACCTATACGACTTATTGACTTATTGATGGCTGGCTGGCTATATATACGACTTATTGAGAGCCAGATGTATATGGCTCTCTCTATATGGCTCCTGCTCTCTTTCCTCCTCGATATTCAGCAGATGTGGAAGAAAGGAGTGAAAACGACTTGCGTACTGTGACTTTCTATCTCGTCTAGAGATCCCATCGGATGCGTACATGTGTCGTCTATATTATATACACCAAAAGTACAACTGGCTGAGGTTAGGTGCGACTGCTCGAAGCTTTGGAATCCAGTCCGGGTGTCCAGTCGGGCGGCTGGGGAAGGGCATGTACACCACCCTCCAACAGGTCATGAATTGAGACCTGTTAGGCGTGTTAGGGCCTAACATGGCCTAACAACATAACCCTACATTTCGGAGACCTGTGGGAGGAGTGCTGGTATAAAGAATTGTGTTGGTTTTGCTTCAGATACCCCACAGGTGGCCATTTCAATCGATTCTCATCGGTCGCACCGCACCCTGGGCTTGCGGCTTGGGTGCTTCAGTTGGGACCAAACTTGTGGGAGTGCTCCGGACCAAGTAAGCTAAAAAGCTCCAGAGTTTGCACCCAAATTGGCCACCCAACTGATGTCCCAATCATGTCGTCCAAAGCCCCGAGGTTTGGAGCCGGTGAGCCGCTGAACGTGGGCGACGCCGCTCGGGGCGGAGCCGGAGAGGACGGTGACAGGGAAGTCGGACTGGAGGGGGGGTGGAACATGGTGAACAAGTGCTATCCCTATGGGACACTTGTGGAACACAAGTGGACTTGTTATAGTGGAAGACTTGTGGAATATAACAAGTGTTTTGGCCACGTTGAATCGTTGGGTTCTCCAGTTGGGGAGTTGGTCTTGCTCCCCAGTTCAGATCTGACTCTGGTACATTTGCTGGGGTCATCAATCAAACTGCTTGCATACTGTAGGACGTATTTGTAACTTACCACCTGCCTCCAGGATCTATGTGCAAATCTCATGATTTTTCATGTGTCCTGTTTGTTTTGGTTCGCAGAGAGGGCCACCACTCAGCACCACCAAGTTCCGTCCGTGACTCGTCGTGACTGCACCGCTTCCAGAGACCTCCCCCGTTCACCACGGACACGCGTCGCGGAGGCTTCGCTGGAAGAGTCACCCACCTAGGACGAATCAGTCCATGACCCATCAGTCCACTTGTGGAGGTGATGGAGGTGTCCAAGGAGGTGATGAATTCGCCGGATTCTCCGGGTTGAACAGCCGTATAGTCCATCCCTATTGGGGTCCGGAAGGTCTCAGGTCTCTCAACCAGTGCACGTTTAGTCAGGTCATTCCAGTCACTTGTCCTATTATATACTTGGAACTTGATGATCAACAGCCCTCACCAACCGGATCTCATCCCCAAATCTATCACCCCTGTGACTCCTGTGGCTGCCAGTCCATGGGATTGGTTGAAGGGAACAGGAAAACATCTCTTTTCACCTCGAAAACTATGGCTTTCCTGTAAATTTGCCCATAAACCAATTCGGAGCATTGCTACCCCTGGGTGGGTCTGGGCCAATTCCTACCCCGATTTCGCCAGAGGTCATTGGCATTGCTTGCAACCAGGCGACCTTCCCTGTGTCGGTGGGAGGCCCCAAGACGTCACACAGTGGGATGGAAGGGTCGCAGATCCCAAAGAAGAGACCTGAGACCGACCCCTCCAACAGCAGATCAACACCTGGGGCACCCTGACCGACTCCCTGGTCTTTCAGGAACCGATTCCTTCTATATATAAGTCCCAAAAAAGGGGTGTCAACCTGCCATGGTTTGGTGAGGGAGTCAAAATGACTCACACCGGAGATTTGTTTGTCACGGGTCACTTCGGAGAGCTGGTAGAATGGATTGGTAAATCGTCCGGTCCCATTATAAAGTGTCAGAATATGAAAAGGACTGGCGGCTTCTTCAACCTCTGCCCCACGCCCTCCCATGCCACCGAGGTCACGGCATGGCACAACGGCGCCCCGGTGCCGGCGCCCATGCCACGTGGGTGAGAGAGCCCGGAGCGACGTGCTAGTGTGTTATTCACTCGATATTTATTGGTTTTCTTTGTTTCTGTCAGGGACACATGTGCTGTCTCAAGTCTCCCCTTGTTTGCATCATGTGCAAAGAGGAGTGGTTGGTTCACCTGCAGGTCATAATTACATCCTGCTAACTTGCTAACTGCCAACCCAGGAGCCATGACAGCCATGACTTCGCCGCTAAAAGGCAGCTTTCATCGGGTCGGGCGTTGTTCGAGGCTGAAAGGTGAGCTGTGGCCTTCACTCTTCTTGTCGGATTGCGCTGGGCACACCCAGAAGGTGTTCGAGCGGGGTGACCGGGAGGTGTCGGGTGGAGTTTGGATGAGTTTGGATCGGAAGCTGGAGTGCTGCAGGAGGTCATTCTGATGATAAAGAATTGTAATTTGTTGTTTTGAAAAGAAGCAGCTGCTTGCACAGCAACTTCAAAGATCACATGCAGGCTGTTCCCCAGGCTGCCACCTTTCTGTTCGGATGAACTAGTGTCTTTCCGGTGGCACCCTGGCCTATTCGCAGGGTCAAGGAAATCGACTTTTTGCAGAAGGTTTTTTGTGGAAGTCTGCCGTGCATGAATTGGTTTAAAGTTTAGGTGGACCAATAATATGGGTGTGCAATAGAAAAGGGAGAGCTCCCAACAAGCCTGGAAGAAGAAAACGTAACTAGACCAAACCCGTTGGATTCGTTGGGGGTGAACGAGATACTGTGACATGACCTCCTACAGTAGTCTAAACGAGATAGGGCACCCACATAACATGTTTGAGTTTAGTAACAACTATATAGCTACCGCTGTTCATATGACTGTTCTCTATTTTTAAGGACTCCATTTTGTATTTGGCGGTTGCTACGTGTGACTCTGGATGGGCTCGGTGTCGTGCCCGGCCGGTTTCCAGACTCGCTGCGACTGGCGAAGAACTCGGGAACCTGTCGGACAGGACGCCGCCGATCCGGCAGACCCAAGCCTTCAATGTGCAGGAGTGTTTTTAAAATCAGACGCCAACAACAACCACTACTACGACTAATTTACTTGCTTGCTTGTTACTATATAATTTATGAGGCTTACGCCTGACAGCCGGGCGCCGGCCAAGCAGGGTGAGGGTTTGTGTTCAACGGTTTCGCTCTTGGCCCTAGGTTGGGCCAAGTTGAGCCCATGTGGTCTATGTTAGGCACATCTTGGGCCCAAGTTGAGCCTATGTTGGGCCTAGGTCGGCCTATGTTAGGCCTATGTTGGCCTAGGTTGGGCCTATGTTGGGCCTATGTTGGCGTATGTTGGCCCCATGTTGGCATATGTCGGCCCTATGTTGAGCCATCTTGGAGGCTATGTTGGGCATATGTTGGCTATCTTGGGCCTATGTTGGGGAAATGTTAGGCAACTTCTGTGCCCAACACCCACGAAATGTCGATTAAGCCTGTCCGCGCGGCACGCATAACCGACACCACCAGTGCCCTGTTAGACGCAAGTCATGTCCGCCGAAGGCCACGAAACACTGTAAAAACCGATGTTTTCCACATCATGCGCAATCATGCTGGTAGATAAAATATAAATAACAAAAATCCGTCAAAAATCTGTCGACACGTTTCGGGCGGGGGTATACACGCGGTCCAACAAAAGGGTCGGCGGCAGGGGCGGCGAGCGTATATAACCTTCGGTTACCACCGAAGGCCTCCGGCAAGGACACGGGCCCGTGGCCGGCGCCCGGATTTAAGAGGCTTACGCCTGACAGCCGGGCGCCGGCCAAGCAGGGTGAGGGTTTGTGTGCAACGGTGACGCTAAGCGGGAAGGCAGAAGCGAAAAAAGTTGTCGCGGAGGATGTATGTGAACATAAATTGCGTAACATACTTTTCCACTCTCTCTCTCTCTCTCTCTTTCTCTCTCTCTGTCTCTCCCTTTTCCTTCACTATTTGCCTCGGTCTCCGTCCCTGTCTCCGTCGCGGTATTAGTCGGTAGTTGTCTCTGTCTCTGCCTCTGTGTCGGCTAAAAGGTTGTGGGGGAGCATCGCTCCCCCACCCTCGCGCAGGACGGGGGCCGGGACTTCGGGCGTCCCGGCAGCGTCCTTCGCAAGAAGGGGGCTGACCGCCCGGGTGCACAGTAAGTGCACCGAAGGTCGGGTGAGCCGTCGAACACAGCCACAGCCAGGCACAGCGTTATGCTTTCTTCTGCTCTGTCTCTTTCAACGTCTCTCCACACCTACAGCAACGTCGACGAATAATTTTAGATAGGGCTATATTCCTCGCACGATCCCCTCGTCCTCGGAAGAGGTAGCGTCGTCCACCACCCGGAGCCAACAAAAGCAGAGAGCGCGTCGGTCTTCCCTCCCAGCTACGGCGAGCAAGCGGTTTCATTCTGTGAGAAGCCGTGGTCGTTTGGTACGGTGTTTAGGGGCCCAGCGGGAGTCAAACATCTTCGACCATGTTAACTTCTCAGTCAAGAAGCATCTATTAGATAGTTTCATTTTCTTCCAAAAATTACCTTTGACATAGTTTTATTTTCCTCTAAAAACCCACCAACCGAACCCAAAAAGATCATCCACGACAGAGTTTTACTACAAAATACTACCCACCGAATATCTGTGTTTGTCAGACTCGCTGAAAACAGACTAGACTGAAGTGACTGCCAGAGAGTGACGAGAGAGAGTTGACTGTGAGCGACTCACCGTGGCTCGCTTACGAGAGACTGAACTGCACAGACTGCGTGGCTCGCTTAAGAGAGACTGAACTGCACTGACTGCATGGCTCGCTTAAGAGAGACAGGAGAGAACTGACAGCGCTGGTTTTGTGTCAAAAGTCTGTGACCCCGTACCCGACACCTTGTCCAGAATGCCAAGGCAAGCAAGCGCGCTTGTGTCGCCAACCAAGCGCGGGCGTCCAAGACCTGCGCAAACTGTGGCCAGCCATTGAAGGCAAGTCAAACTCCAGGTACGTGGTGCAAACCCTGTGCATACCCTCCTTGCACGGGCGGATGTGGAAAACCACGCCCTCAAGTAGGCAAAAGGCGACTCCACGCCAAGAAAAATCCTATTTGGCACTGTCCAGAATGCCAAGGCAAGCAAGGCCGCTGTGTTCGGTGTGAGAAAGTGGTCGCCGTTCCCAACCTTTCTAACTACACCGCCGACAACAACACAGGAACATGCAAAGCGTGTGTCGCTAAGCCTAAACTCTGTGGTAACTGTGCCAAACCCTTGCCTTCCACTGCAACAGCTGGGACATGGTGTGCCGCATGTGCGTATCCCCCTTGTCCAGTGTGTGGTCGTCCACGACCCGATGACAGAAGCTATCACGTCAAAGTTTTACCAACTTGGACTTGCGCCGAGTGCAAAGTGAAACCATGCAGCAAGTGCGGTCAGCCGCTAGAGTCCCAGGCCATAGCAGAGACCTTGTGTAGGCAATGCAGCTATCCGCCGTGTGAATCCTGTGGTCATCCACGGCCTCAAAAAAGTGGGTACCATGTCAAGGTTTTACCTTCTTGGAGCTGCGCAGAGTGCAAAGTGAAGCCTTGCAGCCAGTGCGGTCAGCCGCTAGAGTCCCAGGCCATGGCAGACACCTTGTGTATGCAATGCAGCTATCCGCCGTGTGATGCTTGTGGTCAGCCACGACCACAAAAAAGCGGCTACCATGTTAAAGATTTACCAACTTGGATGTGTAGCGAGTGCCAATCGCTGCGAAACTATCCCCCGTGCGACCAGTGCGGTCGGCCACGGCCACAAAAAAGTGGCTACCGTGTCGACGTTTTGGCTCATTGGATCTGTGCAGAGTGCCGCGATAACACCCAGCGTGGCGTGCCACGGAAGAGGCGTCGCAAAGTGTAGAAGCCTATGCCATGAAAGCAGCATGCGCAAGCTGTGACGTGCAACATACGCAGTCCACATCAGATAGAAATTCCACGTCAAAAGCCTAATGCACAGAACCACCCTGGGCAGCTCCATCTCACCCCCTACCCGAGAGCCAGCGCATCGCGCAGCCGCTGCAGCCAAGTCCGCAAGAGCATCGCTCACGCCCGACAAAAACCATAGTCCGCCCACTTAATAAAAGTTCCATTCTAGACACTCCGTAGGCAAGTCGAACGCGGCGTGCTTCCAACCGCGCAAATCCTTGGTGCGTACTCCGCAAGAGCATCGCTCATGCCCGGCAAATACCATACTCCGCCCACTTAATAGATATTCCATTGTCAAAAACCAAGTGCAGAGCAGGGTTTCGATCGTTTGCTCCCGAACGGCCTCAGCCATGGCTTCGTTTTCGTGGGCTTGTGGAGCCAAAGGTTCGATTGAACCATCTGCCAGCACATGACTCTGTCACAGTCGCATTGCAAATACTGTGCCACATCCAGCACATCCTTCTCGATGCCCTCTCACGATTTCGACGTGGGTATGTGGGTATGTCATTTCAAGTCTCTCATGCCTTAACAAGCGGTGGCAACAACCGTCTAATCACCAACCCCCTCCATCGCACCACCGTCGAGAGCCTAGACGCTGTGCGCGTCCAGTCGCACAATCCTTGGCGCGTTTGCGCCTTCGCTCTAGCCTCCGCCAGAGCATCGCTCACGCGGCCAACTTCATGACAACAACCAGGCCGTAGCAGTCAAAAAGGACCGGTCAGCGAGCGCTGGACGCGCGGTGTGTCTGTGAGTTCGTTCTCGCCGGATGCGCGGTGCGTGCAGACAGCAGTGTCTGCGAGTTCGTTCTCGCCAGGTGCACATCGTCTACATCTTCCGTCGGTGGGGGACCGAACAACCCCTCCCTGTGCAAGACGGGGACCGGGACTTCGGGCGTCCCGGTAGCATCCTTCTCGCGAAGGAGGCTGACCGCCCGGGCGTATACCGAGTATACGCCGAAGTCGGGAGAGCCGTCTTGCACATTTCCTGCCATCTTTCTCTCTCTCTCTCTCTCCTCTCTCCCTCCCCTCTCTCTGTCTGTCTCTGTCTCTGTCTCTGTCTCGGTCTCTGTCGGTCTCTGTCGGTCTCTGTCTGTCTCTATCTCTGTCTCTGTCTGTCTCTGTCTCTGTCTTCTCTGTCTCTCTGTCTCTGTCTCGGTCTTCTCTGTATCTGTCTTCGCTGTCTCTGTCTCTCTCTCTCTCTCTTTGTCTCTTTCTCTCTCTCTCTCTCTTTTTGAGACTGTGTGGGGCCTATGTGGCCCGTCTTGGGGCTATGTTTCCCATATCTGAGAGCTAGGGAGAGTCATCTTCGCTGTCTCTCTCTCTCTCTCTTTTTTTTTGAGACTGTGTGGGACCTATGTTGCCACATCTTGAGGCAATCTTGGCTCATCTTGGGGCTA